AGAGGGGAACTTTAGCTTTGAGAAGAAAGAAAAACAAGGGCATGTCAAGGCCTAAACCAGAGATGTATGTAAAATAATCTGAGCAGCTTGATTAGCCAGAGTGAGATTAGAAGTTGCATTATTGGCCTTTAAACATATGGTGTAGTGTATTATATATCACCTATAATCTCTACTACAGCAGCAGTATGGACAGCTTGTTTTCCACTAACTGTAAATAGAAATTACTTTAATCTTTCCTAAAATGTTTACATGTAATTGGAGAAGTATCCAATAAAAAAAATAGCTCTAAAGATAAAGTTCTGTAAACTATAATTACACAACAAAGTACACTCTGCTATATTAAAATAATTAAAATGTAGCTGGATTAATAATAATGAATTAAATTCCACTGTAAACATGGAAAACCAAAGCCATGATGCTAAATACAGTGAGCCAGAAATCTTTGTTACTTCGTTATTTTTCTTGTCGCATATGATTTAGTGTTTTTGACTACAGGTTCTTTGAATCAGAATTTTTATTTTCAGGATGCGTGAGAAACATGTAAGATTACCTAACTGAAATTCAGACTGTATGAAGTAGGGCACTACGTATCTTACATCCAAGGGGATCATTGTGTATTTTTATTCACTGTTTATTAAAACATACAAATACCCCTTAGTTCATTCCTAGCTCATTTTAATATTATAAAACCAGAAGGATTCAAAAGGTTATTATTATTATGGTAGACACTCTACCTATTACTGAAGTAGGAAAGAAAGGGATGAAGTAGTATCTTCTTTTAAAATAATTGTTTCCTGTCAGAGAGCCCAATCCAGCACTGTTAATGTGCGTTTTCACACCTACATTTATTTTTGAAAGAAAAGTCCTACAGGCAGAAGTTCGTCCATTAAATGTTTAATTACACTTTCAATAAACTATAGGAAGGCTTGTCTTACAGGACTGTTCCATTCTCAGATCTATCACTTAAAATACCATGTGATCTTGGATTAATTAGTTAAAGTTTGTTAATTGTTTTTCTGTAGAACTGAATCTGAACGTAACTTCTCCATGCGATTCTGTTACTCTCTCCAAAAGCACCAAAAATGAGCTTGAGTTTTGCATGTAATTCTCCATTGTTAAGTTACTTAAAAATAAAATGAATTTGGAGTAAAAGTAGTTTGTCTCCTCTTGCGGCATTTTATTTTAGTCAATGGCAGATTGGAAGTATGTATGTGGGTTTTCAACATGCAAACTAGCTGTGCTGCCTTCCATTTCTATTATTGGAATGATTTTTGTAGGTAACACCAAGAAATCAATTGTGTCATTGCTGTAATTGTTCAGTCCATAGGAACAGTAGAAGAACATTTATCTGACATGCTTCTGTACAGGTAGAGCTGAATTTGCCATGTGTGACAGAAGAGTGGTGTTGAATGTACAGGCTCTGCCTCCACCATTTGTTTATTAAATGGATATGGGGAAAAACAGATTTACTAGTCTTCAGAAAAGTTCTCTCTTCATTTCTTCAACCATCGTCATCCATCTAATTCCCAGTATCAACCTTTTCACTATACATCCCAGGCTGTCTTAAATTAGTGTATTGATATGTATTACTGTATTTGGCTTTGCCTGATATTCTTTCTAGACGTGTTAAAAATATACTGGCTTGTGCATGTCTTAGTTTTATTTGGCAGGACTTTTAATGTAATCCAAAAAATGGTGGACAGCATGCATCAGAATCATGGGGAACTCTTTGAAACATAGACCCTCTGATCTGACTGTTCTTACGAGGTTTTCTGAGATGCAGCATTTTGTAGGGTTGCTGTATGCATCATCTTCGTGACAGAGTTGGGAGATGGCGTTCTTTGAGGACATCTAGTGACAAATGAGCTGCAGTCACAAACCAAGTATTTCACTTCATCTCTTCAGTTTTTCCTGAGATCTCTGTGAGAATTCGCTGGCAGTTTGCGGCCCTCTGAAAGGTCCCAGTACTGCACATGATCTGATCTTTTCTCTGGGTCCCTCTGTTGCCCTCTGTCTGAACTGGCTTTTGATAAATTGGGAGATTCCCATGAAAAAGAATTGGAATTTGCTCCTTTCCTACACTTTTGAGAGATCAGAGCAGAAGTCTTGAAAAATCCGGACACCAAAGCAGAGAAAAATTCCTAATGTACATAACTTCCCAGAGCATTGCACCCTTCTGATGTTCTTCTGGCCCATGTTCCACTGTAACAGTTCCAGTAGGAAATAAAGGGCAGTCAGGTGTATCCCTGAAGGCTGTGAAATGTGCCAATTTATAATGCCTAGTTAAAATTAGAGAAATCTTTTTGCTTAAAAAGTTTTGCTGATTTGAAATTCAAGCTGTTTTCAGAATGTGCCTTCTATCCATAGGGAATAAGACCTATCGAGTATGATATACTTACATTGATCCTCACATACAGTTCTGTTAAGGCCAGTATCATCTATGTAAGTATGTCTTTTACTAATGGTCATGACTGCCTATTCTCATGCTTTTTTCCATCATCCCAAAAAACAAGTGAATTAGGTTCTCTCCTCCAGCTTATATTGTTGAGAGTGACTGTTAAAATATAGAGGAAAAAGCAGGAAAAGACAAGCTCTTCAAGCACGCAGAGCAGGTGTGTCTCCAGGTATGAGAGCAAGTACACAGCCAGGGAGGTTCAGAACAGATGGTACCAAAGCCCAGCACAAATGGGGCTGGTGGAAGAAAAGCTGCATTTCCGACTGAGGAACAGAGCATGGCCTGCATCATACTGACTTCAGTCTGTAGCTCTGAACCTAAGCAAGTCAGGGCCACCTCCAGAGATGTCAATTTGCACTCTGTGTAGATCAGAATTTTTACTTGTGCGTTTGAACATACATCTGCTGGGGAAGAAGATAAGATAAGGAGTGGATGCCAAAGGAAGAGGGGAAGTGGTGCAACTCTTACCATTTGCTGTATGGCAGAATGGCAGGCATGCATGGGCCAGGAAAATTCTTTCAAGATTTAAAGATGAAAGCTAATGGTTGAACTGGGAAGGTGTTTGCCTTCTTCACTGTATCCTCATTCGTGTCACACATGAGAGTTCAGTAGCATAACTGAGGTGAAAATGTTGCAAGAAGGCAAGCTGAGATCTCTTGTAAACAGGAGAACCTTACTGCCTTCACACACAGGCTGCAGTCAGTGAGTTTTACTGCCTGCTTGTGCATCCCAAAGTTGTAACAAGTTGTTTTTTGGGCCCTCAAGACTTTGTAGTCTTAGAATAAAATATCGCTGAATAGAGATGTGGTGTTTTCAATACTACAAAATCGGTGGGGGTCACCAAGATTAATCATCAACAAGTTAGATGCCTACTCAGTGTAGGTCTGGACTCAATGGGGAGGGACAGAAACATTCAGAGAGTGGTACATCCCATGCTAAAATAGTCCAAACTGGATCAGATATACCTTCCTTGGGATTTCCTTTTTTCTGTTGACTATAGAAAGAGTTCAATGATAGCAGAGAGAAAATGTCCCACCTGATGGCTGAAAGTGAGAGATGAATCCTCCCCAAAGAGTGCAGTTGTGATGGAAGTCTGGTTTGTCTCTTCCCCTGTTTCAGAGTAAGGACTTCAGAACTTTTGCTCTTTTAAATTCGTTCATTGTTTGCAAATGGTTATCTGACTTCTGAGTAGTGGAATTTTTACTTTCAGACTTTTCATTAGTGAGTGTTTTAAGAGATAAATTTATGTTGTGATGAATCGTGTGAGAGGTGATAATCTGTACAGTATTGGATGAAGTAATTTCTTTTAAATGTAAATTGTAGAAGACATGTTTTTCTCTAAGTGTAAAGGCTTTTATGTAAAGCCTTTTGGGACAGATTCAAGTAATAAAAGTATTAGAAAAGTATTTCTTCTTACGAGTTGCTTGTGATTTATTTTATTAAAAATATATGTATTTTTCTGATTTACAGAAGTCTGCAATGTCCTACAAAGTTATTGCAAAACAGTATTTCTATGCCAGCTTTCGATTATGCAGAGAACAAAAGGCACTGTTGAATGCTGCTGGACGAGGCAGTGGTTGCTTTTTCAAGAGTGAAAAACTTGTCCTGCTGGTGGCTGTCTGCCTGCGTGTGGGTCTGGTTGATCAGTGGTTTCATACAGTGCACCTGCTGCAGTGGCTCGGCACATCCCTCAGGCTCTGTTAGAGGACTTCCCTCTCATCCACACACACACGTTTGCTGTGCCTTTGCTGCTTACACCTAAGAGCCTGTGTGGGTGGGGGCTCATGCATGTGTGCGCAATTAGATGAAAATAAAGCTGCGTCCCAATCAGGATCTATGCAAAAATGCATTTGTAGAGCTTAGTGGACAAGCCAATAATCTAACGAGAAGTCTGCAAACCTTTCAGTTTTCATCTGAGTGACTGAAAAACATCTCCCTCTGCAGAGATCGGTAGCTGAGGTACACTCCCTTGTTCTGCATTCACAAAGTCCTCAGTATTTTTTTTCCTGTATAAATAAGACTAAAAGGACCATCTAAGCAAGTTTTCTGATGCTAAAATGATGTACTACACAAACACTTTCCTAAGCTAGGCATCTGTATTCTGTAAAACATTTACTGCTTTAAGATACTTATTTTTTCATCTGTTTTAATCACATCTTTTGAAAATGTCTCAATAGATTTTTCCATTTGTAACATTATGACACTTGATAAGATGATTGATTATGAAGTGTTGAGAGTCCTGCCATGCAATCATTTATTTTTAAATGCACATTTGTACTAGCCAATGCTGAAATTTCTTGCAGGAATACATAAGAGATGCGAAACATAAAGCTTGAGTCTGATCGAATCTGATGCCTCTGGAAATAGAGTGCCACAGTACTGTGGTCTTAAAATAACAGATTCTGACTGAAACTGGAACTTCACAGTGATAAATATTATGTAAAAAATTATGGTCCGTCTTTGGTACAAAATAAAAAAGACGTACAGCTGTGGTGCAGACGAACGAAGACGTGTTTGATGATGATATCTTTCTTTCTCTGTGCAGGTGCCTGTGTCAGTGGCCATGATGACTCCCCAGGTGATCACCCCTCAGCAAATGCAGCAGATTCTCCAGCAGCAAGTGTTGTCTCCCCAGCAGCTCCAAGCACTTCTCCAGCAGCAGCAAGCCGTTATGCTGCAGCAGGTAATGTGGGTTACCTGCTTTGGACCGCTAGCGCAGGGTGTTCTCACAACTGTTAGCCAGATTTGATAGATCTTAGTTGGCAATATTCCATCGCTCATTACACCAAAAAGGATGAAAATGAGTGTGAAACTTTTCAGTCTTTAAATTTCTTGCTTTAATTGCACAAGTGTGAAATTGCAATTTTGAAACTTTTAACGTTGTATTGAAAACAGCAGCAGCAGTGGCGGATGCATTACAAATACCGAACAAATTGATATTTAAATTTTCAAGTGCCTAGGCACATTTTAATTGTAGACTTGCCAAAGAAAGTGCGAATAGAATTGTAGATAATTGTTGCTTTAAAATTCATAACACTGTAGTGCTCCCTTTAGTCATACAAATGGTATGCGGTTATGAAATTTGAATGTAACAGCTTGTTTCATCATAGGAAAAAGTTGTTGTTTGTTTTCTTTTAAATTTGCTTTATACTTCCAAAAATTTGTCCCAGATAAAGATGAAGGAAGAAGTTGCTGTTTCCTTAGCACAAAGTCTGGTGGCTAAGTGAAGAATGCATGAAGTTGCTATTCTTACAATAAACAGGTAGTGTCAGTGCTCAGTACCCTGGTGTAAGAATAGATTTTTGGACGCTTTGTTGTCATCCAGAAAATGATCTGTCTGATAGTCATACTTCAGTCATTGTGTGTTTAAACACTTTACTTTCTGATACCGTGATCATTACAGGCAGTTCACTTTCAGTTTTGAATCTGGCATTCCACTAAATGGGTTGACAGATTAATTGCTTTTTTTTTTTTCCTTTTTTTCCCCTTAAGAAGCAGCCAGTTTAGTTTGGCCTTAGTGAGATGTTGGTTTCTTACGAATAGATGAGTACAACTTCTAATTTGCTATATAGGACATATGAGGAACTTAGGTATAGTTACTTCAGGAGTTAATTTGGCTCTTGCATTCCCTTTAGAATACAGATTTTCTATACCCTTCTGTTTAGGATGTTTTGGAATCTGCATTGGAAAATTTCAGAACCGCCTTGGAAAAAAATGTATGTAGATCTGCCTCTTCAAATCACACTTTTGTTATGAGGTGATTCTTAATGGCTACGCCACCATATGCCAATCTAGAAGAGTTTAGGAGATTTATAATACTTGAAACTTTTGCCTTTATTTATTAAAGTCAAAATGGTTTATTCAGCAACAACTACAAGAGTTTTACAAGAAACAGCAAGAGCAGTTACATCTTCAGCTTTTGCAGCAGCAGCAACAGCAGCAGCAACAGCAACAACAACAGCAGCAGCAGCAACAACAGCAGCAGCAGCAACAGCAACAGCAGCAGCAGCAACAGCAGCAGCAGCAGCAGCAGCAGCACCCAGGAAAGCAAGCAAAAGAGGTAGGAGCCAAGAGCCTTGCTGATACATACTGGTATAGGCTGACAGAAGCTTGGAAAAGATGAGGCTACTTCAGGTCTTTTCCTGTAGCAAGAATCCAGCCATCAATGATCCGTTCTTGTGTTTTTATGGGGCTTAATAGCAATGTCGATGTATTTCTCCTGCTCCCCTGTCTGAGATGTAGGATTTGAGCAGTCCAGCGCTGCTGTTGTCTAATGTCCACTAACGAACCTGAGTGTGCAGAGCACTAGCAGTGGGGGGACATCGTGCTGATTATCCTGCAGGCAGCCCGTTTTGAGGAGGGAGCCACACTTCTCTCCGTGGCACAGCTCAGAGAGCATGCAAATTTAGTCTGTGGCTGAAAAAAAAGCAATTGAGCACAGATTTCAAAGTCACAGGCCCCTGATTAATGAACTGCTACTGTAGGTTTGGAGTGGCGAGTAGAAAGTTACAGTTTGATGTGCTCATAAATCAACCTGACAAGCTGGTTTCTCAGGCCTAGCTTGCACTTGTCAGCAGACTGCATCAAATATAAACATAATACAAACAAAACATGTTGAAGTAGTTAAATTGATCAGCAGGTATCCTAGACATTGTCTTCAAGCTGCCCATTATGCAAACGTTGAGGAAGCAGTCGTGACCTCCTGAGGCTTTGTTTCTGTTTGGATTTGTGAATAGAATTTCAGACAGCCATCAACTACGGAATAGAAATTGCTCCTGTATTTCTCCGGAGGCTCTGGGCAATCCACATGACTTGCTCCATTATGCAGTCTGTTTTCCAGTGAGCGCATCAGAAGTTTCTCTTTTCCCCAAACTAGAAAGGAAAGGTCTTCCACAGCAGCTTGTCTTTCTCTGAAGTGTGACTGCCTGCTTATACCCTCCTGAGTCTTTGCATACTCCAGTTTGTCTTGAAATGCCTCACAAAATTGGAACTTATACTTCTACTCATAATAGGGCACTTCTTTGCCTTGAATGCAGTGCTCGTTTTAATGTATTCCAACTAGAAGTGAGAGAGTGCTAACAGACCAGTGAAATGAAGGCTACATCCCAGTTTACTAATAGATCACTGGAGGCTGCGTTCATGGGCCACTGCGGACCAAAGTTAGTCAATTGGAAAAACAAGAGTGCCCTCAAATCACAGGAGGCCCTAAAGAGTTACACTTTTAGCATAGATGAATTTGTTATCATCTGCCATGAGCTGGGCGATTTTGTTTTTTCAAACGGCTGTTATGTACTTTCTCTTGACCCTTTTCTTTAGTGTGTCATTGAGCATATCTTGACACGTTCCCTAACACCTAATAGTTTGAATGTATATAACAGAAAATTTCAAATGATTGCACTGTCCAAGTATTCTGCAAACAGCGTTATTATTTTATAACTGAGCTTAAAGGGAAATAAGTTGATTTTACATTTTCGGCTTTCTAGCCTCCAATGCCCACTTTATTCTTTGATGCCTATTTTTCTTTCTTTATCAGCAGCAACAACAGCAGTTGGCAGCCCAGCAGCTTGTCTTCCAGCAGCAGCTCCTCCAGATGCAACAACTTCAGCAGCAGCAACATCTGCTGAACCTTCAGCGTCAGGGACTCATTTCCATCCCACCTGGCCAGTCTGCTCTTCCTGTCCAGTCTCTGCCACAAGGTATACCAATAAAACAGGATTGGGGTAATTTCTAATTCACAACTTTTTTAACCATTCTCTTTGCAGGAATGCTTTCTGCATCCTTGCATCTCAACTTTCAACAATTTCCCGTTATGACATTAAAATATTTTATTATTAAAATATTATTATTCATGTTACATTTTTTTCTTGAGGCAGATAAATTTGACAGCATACTTTTATGGAAAAAGTAGCTTTTTAATGTTTTTTTTTTCCTTAGACGTAAGATGCATATTTATTAGCCTTATGCTATGAAAACAATTTCTAATAGCAACACTATTCAAGCACCATTGCTTTTCTCTGAGGAATTACTGGAGTCTGATTTAGTGTGAACGTTACCATTTCATTTAATATAAGTGAAGAGATATAAAAAGAATGAAAAAGTGATATTAAAGTTATCCTAAACCTCACATTTTCATTTTCTAAGAAAATAAAGTGTTTGGTATTGAAAAGTACTTTGAGTCTTCAACTGATGACACTTGAATTTAGGTACATCACTTAGAATTCATTTTCTTTGCTATTCCTTCCTTTTAGATGTGTAAAATATGAAAACAATTTTTGTAAGTTGTGAATGCAATAGTAATGAATTATGACTGACTAATAACAGTAAAGAACTTTACCAAAAAATATTTTGTCATGGTTGAAAGAAAATAGGACACGAGCTTTTGAAAAATGAATTAGCTTGGAAATAAAGACTACTTGCATTTTGAGACAAGGCAGAGACTTCACTTGCTAAGGACTCTGTGACCCACACAGCATGTGTTTCTATTTGTGTTACTGTATAGAGGTGAGCTAAATGTCTGTCATAAAAACTACATAATGTTCTGATCTTTGGCACTTTGGTCCTGCAGCGAGCATTGTTTAGACTGTGTTCATGACAGATAACCTTACTTTTAATTGGCCTTTACGCAGTATCTGGTTCCTCCACCAGATAACTGTTATGAAATCGAAGCTTCAGTAATTAGATGAGCAAGGGCAGAGTACACAGTGTAAGACAATAGTGTAACAAAAAAAAACCCAACATCAAAAAGACGCAGAAGAAGGCATGAGAAAGACGTAACCATTTAAAGCTTCAGTCACTGGAAAGCAGAGAAAAATGTGTAAGTTGTTTCCATATATTGTGTTCTGTGGGAAAACTGTAAGCATACCTAGATTTATAAAAATTGTGGCAGCAGGAGAGAGTCACAAATTAGCTATCACATCACACCTTATTATTTGGGAAGGGCAGTGAAGAGTCATGCTGATTCATGAGCTTGGACATGTGAGAGTGATAGTACTGGTTTCCTTCTGTGCAAAGTCGGATTGGGCCCAAGTGGAAAAAAAGTAATTGAAACACATCCTTTCTCTGAACACCTTCACCTCCTACAGCCTCCTCTTTTACCATCTGTTGCAAGAGGAATTCCTCAGGTTTTCTCTCTCACATTGAGCAATCCCCATAGATTTCCCTCAGCACTCCTACCAAATTAATTTCATGCAACAGTCATTCATCCACTTCTAGTAGAAAAACATAAAAATATCCTTTTTTAAATAAATAGTATAAGTTATGGCCAAAATTGATATTAAAGAAATTAATAGAATATGAAATGAATTAAAATATATTCAAATTGTTCTTTTTAAAGTTAATCTCCTGTTTGCTTTTGCTCTGTATTTGTTTGTAATAATAATGAATGCTAGTGAAATACTTCATTCTTCCAATTTTGTTTTCTAGTATCTGCTGTGTATGTGGGATTCCTCTAAATGGAGAAGTGAATTGGTAGGACCTTGATGTTTGATAGGACTGATAGGAAACATTGGACATTTCCCTAGGAAGACCTCTCAGTGCCTCCAGAAAGGCCACTGAGTGCAAGGGGAGCTAGAGTGATGAGAGTAAGAAGGAATATCTTTCTAGAAACATGCTGAAACAAGTTGAGAACCAAATGCACAGCTGTGCTGACTCACAGTTCTTTCAGTGGGCTTCTATTATATCTCATTTCCTTGATAGGAAGAAAAAGCACCCCATATAGTTCATAATGTAATGAAGATTAGTGCTTTTCAGATCTGTTGAAATTTTCTCCTAAACCTTAGATTTACACTTAGAAAGTATCTAATCTATACTGATTACTAATTCTATCACAGATTTCCCTATTTGGAGTTTGTGCAAGAGTAAGATAATCAATCTTTTGTTTCATTTTTCTCATAAAAATGTGACACTTTTTCTGTGGAAATGTTAAATTAAGCCATCAGAACTTATTTAAGGCAGTACACATTGGATGTGGTAAAATGTTTTTCTCCTTCCACTGTGTTACAGGATATATAATATGGTTATAGAGACATACGATATACGTTTTACAAATGTGTAACACAAACATTTTTATATGTATCCACTTAGATTGCAGTTACAAGGATGACTAAAACAATGAGAGAAGCACAGGAGGATTCTTGTTTTCTAAGTTATTGGTAATAGAGTCTAGTAAAACACAAATTATTACTGACAAAGAAGGTTTTTTGCATTTGTTAGTATGAAAAGACATAACTTCCACATACAGCTGTGTGGTTTGCTCCAAGCCTAGTTACTGCCTTTAAAGGACAATGTTTTTCTCTTAATGATTAGGTACAGCAAATAAGATGTAGGATTTGTTTGAGCATTTATTTTGAGTGAGATCTTCACTACCCTATATCCAGTGGCTCACAGTAAGTTACTTCTGTGTAATGCTATGCTAATGTTTACCTAAGTGCAAAGGTATATAAATGACAATAATTAAAAATAGAAGCTTGAATTTTGTCAGACTAGGTAGGAAAATGAAAAACAAGTTCATGGTTGAGTTTTATAAGTGTTCATTTTACTATTTATTCAAACGTATAAGTAGGGTAGATAGTAGTTGGAAGAGTTAGAAAACTAATCTCAAAATTCAGGAGTTGCTGCTGTTAAAATACTGTAGAGTGAATTAGTATTGGTTCTTTTCACCATAGTTCTTTTTTATCCCATCCTGGGTATCATGTTTCATCCTTTCTCTTTTAATTTAGTGTGGAGAGGGTATTTTGAGAATTATCACAATCTGTGAAACTTTAAAACTTACCTTGATTTTACATCCAGACTAAAATACCTGTCAGCCATTTTACAGGTCTCTTGTAAAATGGAAGTTAGCCTCTTCTAGATGCCAGAACTACAAAATGGTTGTAATTTACAATTAATTATATATTCCCTTCTTAATTTGATACTTTTGAAGTGCTGGCCCTTGATCCTTTTATCCTAAAGGGCAGCTGACTTTCAAGGTGTTCTAAAAAAGTGATAAAATTAATCAGCCTGAGCCTAAAGAGAAATTCGTCTCTGATTTTAAAAATCATCTGTAGCTTTACACTGTGGAGAGATGGGTTCCCAGACACTCGGAAGAGAAAGAAGAGGAGGAGGAGATGACACTACATGGGAAGGGCCATTATGGCAGTCACCTCCCACTGGGTGAATTCACCCACGTTCTCAGACTGCCTCTTATTGAGCTCCTGCAGGGCCCAAAGTTTGGTGATACACGTGTATGAAAATTTTCTTACCATAAATCACAACAATATGTTTTCCCTTTGATTATTCAAACGGAGGATTTTATTCTTCGTTTTAATTTAAGTATAAACTTAGTTTATTTTTTTCAGTTGCAGGAAGAAGGGGAGAGTTTGTAGAGAATAATGTCCTATGTATATCATGCCACCTAAATGAACAGGTTACTTTTCCTTTTAGTTTGTTATTATATTTGCAAGTAACTGTTACTTACCATGCTAAAATGGGTTATTTGCAATGTTGCTGGGACGTACCTCATGTACACAGCAGTAATTACTTAACTTCATTAAACAATTACAGCTAGTATTACTATTGCTCCAGTTACCTCTCTCTCTAATGCAGTAAGTTCGAGCCTACCTTTTTTCTTCCGTAAAGCCTAGCTTTTTGGCTGTACAAATATGATTTAAACTCCAGTTTTAAGACTTACATTCCAGTCAGCTTTGTCATTAACAGAGTTTGTCAATGGGTGTTGGTATCTAAGACAGAGAAGAAGAACACTAAATAGTAGTCTAAAAATGAGCTCCTTCTATAATTTAAATAAAAATGAATATCTTCCAACCAATTTGTTTCCACACAACCTCAAGAAATTATTATTTCTGTAAATTACTTGCAGTCTCTTCTTTAATAGCTTTGCATACTTCATGGCAAGACAGTTATTGAGCAGTATTAAGGAACTTACTGTCATTTTTCATATTTCTCATTGAATCCATTCTAGCAGTGTGAGTTCTTATACCTTCAAAATAAAAAGTTATCTAAGAAACAGATTTTCTGAACAGTGAAGAAAGATCCTTACGTCTTTATGATGCATCTTACTTACAAGCAGAACTATCCTTGGTTAAAAGTTTGAATGAATTTTAAATTTTTAATACTTTTCTGAAGACCAGTAAACTTCAGCTAATTCAGAAGGTTGGGACAAAAATTCAGTTCAGAGAACTTTGGTGTTTGGAATGCTTTGCATTCAAGCAGTTGAAGGTACTGTGACAGTGTCCCATCTACGAGGGATGCTCCCAAAGTAATGCTTCCTATTTTTTTTATGTTGGCCCACAGTATCAGACGTGGATGTTGGTGATATGCCAGTATAGGCTGAACCTTGCCACCAATATGCAGTTCCATTTTGTTGCTGTGTGACAGATGGTAGCAGAGGGGAGGTTTGACAAATGGTGTCTGATATGGAAATGCCTATGAAGCAAATTTGCACCATTAAAATCCTCCCTGAGGAAAAATTGCACCCACTGACATTTATCAGTATTTCTGAATGTTTGGTGAGATCAACCAGTGGATGTGAGCAAAGTGAGGCAGTGGGTGGTCAGAGTGGTGACAGAGACAGTGGGTCACCTCCACTGGTGTAGATTTTGATGAGCATAGCCTGCAAGCTCTTGTCAATTGCTGGCAAAAATGCATAGCTAATGATGATGAATGTGTTGAAAAGTTATGTTCTGTAGCTGGGAATTTTCTTTATCAAGTAGTGTTACCGTGTTGTTTGTATCTCTAGTACCTTCAATGGAAATAAATAGAAGGCGTTACTTTTGGAGCAACCTACATACTTCCACTTGCTAAGAAAAGATGCAAAAGATTAGCTGTGCCAGGCTCAGAAAACAGTGGGAAGTCAGATCTTTCACAAAATTTGTATGGTCTTCTACATTTAATTTAGTATTGTTCAAAAGGGAGGTGTTACTTTATAAAGTCTGGCTGTGACAGAATATGTGTATAGTTATGATGAACTCTTCATCTTTCAGTATCTTAATTTCCTGCATTAGATGCATAATACTCATGTAATATGGAGAGGGTAAGAGAACACTCCCAGCTCTTCTCTTTTGTTTTGTGAGTCGTTGGGCAGAAACATTTTGTAATGTAAGTTTCCACGACTTCGTGCAAAGATCTCAGTTCATTGCAGACAACCCTAACACAGATGTGTAAATCCAATCTACAAACCATTGCAGTCTGTGGCTGTGGATGAGTCCTGGAAACCACTAGTTTTCAGACTACAAGTAGAGTACAGAGCAAATTTGATCTGTATCTGCAGTGATCTTGTGGCCAGATTCCAAGACAGTACTGTGCATCAGGCAGACGAGTTTGAGAAGCTCTTCAAATATTTTATGGCTACTCATGACCCCAGGAGATGGAGTCTGCTGTCTCCTAGCCAAGCCTCTGACTTGTTTTTCACGCCAGGGATGGACAAAAAATAGTGGAGGAATTCAATAGTCTACATTGTGTGTAATTTAATCTATGTATGGGGAATTCTAAATGTCCCAATTTTGTTACCTTTCTGCTTGTTTGTTGCCACTGAATGGCTCCAAAGAGCTGAACAGGATTGAATGAATATATAGGTGTCATTAATTAAAATGTCTTCTGTGCAAATGTTAAACGTGTTAAGAGCTCATAGATTTCATTTTTGTCTGATGATTTGTTGTCTGCTTCTTCCACTCCCTACTTAAAAGTTTAAAGAAAATAGTAATGTTTCTATCCCTAATATAATAAACTTTTCTGTTTTAAGTAAGAGAAATTCTGAAAGTTGAGATAACTGTGGATAAAATGAGTTATGTTTTCCTGTCAAGAAATGTATTATGTAGACAACAAAAACCTAATATGCACGTGTATTCAGTTGTTCGAGCTTTTTTAGTTTTTCAAGAAGTGGTTGCAAGTTCTTTGTAGCTTTTGTTCTTGGATCCTTGTGTAGTGTTTCTAGAAGGAGCATGATGTTATTCAAATTGCTGATTTCTGATTGAGTGTTTATAATCCAAGAGAAGACAGCTAGATTACCTGGATTCTAGCTGAAGAAAAATGAATTTATGTTTTACTACACGTTGATTGTGCTGGAAAAACTACATCAGCTTTATTGTTGGCATTAATCCATTAATAACACTGAGCTCATAATATGAAACTCTTATTTTGTTGTATTAGTGGGGCTCTCTTTCGTTTTATAGCTGGCTTAAGTCCTGCTGAGATTCAGCAGTTATGGAAAGAAGTGACTGGAGTTCACAGTATGGAAGACAATGGCATTAAACATGGAGGGCTAGACCTCACTACTAACAATTCCTCCTCTACTACCTCCTCCACCACTTCCAAAGCATCACCACCAATAACTCATCATTCCATAGTGAATGGACAGTCTTCAGTTCTAAATGCAAGGCGAGACAGGTAATTCTGATATGAGATTTCAATTGTACTTATCATTTGATGTAACACTGTTGTTTAGCATCTGAAGTCACATTATTTCAACTCTCAAAATAATATTTAACGTAAGTTCTTAAGGTATCATGGAGAACAGATTTTTCAAAACTGTTTATCAATTGACTGCCTCTTTCAGGCATGATGTCTAATTTTGCAGGTGCAAGTGCAATTATTGTAAGTCTTGCTACGCATGAACTTATGATACAATCAAAAATCTCAGAACAGTTTGCTTGTGGGCACTTCTGTGGCTACGTAGCTTCTTTCATAACTGAGTCAACACATTTGGCAGTCAGGCCTCTACTGTTGAATCACACTGCTGTTTTCATAGAAGTTTTTGTCCACATAAATTAAATAGTAAATTATTGCATTTTCAAAAAATGTATATCCATTTTATTTTAATTAATTAGCATTTTATATTTTTATATTGAATTAGGAGACAATAATTAATCACAGGTCATACTGTGACTGTGACTATAGTTTTTAGTTGACATTTTGTTTCATTTAAAAAATGGTTCTTCTCTGATAGACCTTTGGAGTAGTACTTTTAGTTAGAATTACTTTTGTGACTATCTCCAAGAAGCTGTTTCTTTCCTTTTCGACATGTAGTTGCCCATATCCATGCAGCAGTCCCTTGAATTGTTTTGATATTGAATTTGATTTGCATATAAGTGAAACTCTTGCAGGGGTTCTAAAAATGGCATGGAGAACAGCAGATTGTATATTAAGTAGTTAATGGCAAAAAAAACCCAAAGTGAACAACAATATTTATTAAATATATTTATTTTATTTTATTTACAGTTCGGCAGAAAATCTAAATATTTTGTACTAACATTCGTACGAATTCTGACTGTCCATCTTCAGTATTTCTCTTCAGAATTGATCACTTCTGAATAGTATATTTTTTATTTATAGGTAAATGTTACGCCAAGGTCATATGGCAGAATTAGCATATGGCGTTACACAGTCATCTTATTTTTTCATCCTTTATTAACAGTCATCTTTGGCTCTATTTCTTCTCTAATTGGAACATCATCTAGCCTTGGCAGTTGAACTATTCAATAGAACGATTAAATTTTTCTGACTGCTCTGAGCTAAATTGACCTGTTTTGACCTGTTTGTCACTGATCGTAACCTGACAGGCGCTAGCAGCCTCCAACGATTATGGCTTTTGAGATGAATCTGATGCCTTATTCTTTTGCTGCAGCTCGTCACATGAGGAGACTGGGGCCTCCCATACTCTCTATGGTCATGGAGTTTGCAAATGGCCTGGCTGTGAAAGCGTTTGTGAAGATTTTGGACAATTTTTAAAGTAGGTTGATTTTTATTCGTGGGTAGAGGGTTGCTTAAGGCACGGGAAGGAGAAAGATGGCAAGCAAAGTTTTACTGTAAATCATAACAGGGTTTTCTTATTTGTGTGTATTCTAAGCAACTGGATGACTGGGAATGTCTGCAGCGGGTCAAATTGTTATCCTCTTTCATGTTGAACACTTTTGCCATCCTTTCAATAGCGAACTGTTTAATCCTCTTACTATCCTTTACTGAAATGAAGCCTCAGAAAATTTGAACTGATGCTTTAGGTGATATACTGGATAACAGAGGTATGAGAAAGTATGAGAAACCATGTTTTAAGCTCTGACAAAGTGGGAATTAATGTATTTAGTATATTAAAAAAAAACACAAAGGACTGTGTCCATTTGACTCTCTTTTTATGATTTGTTTTTTGCTTTTACTCTTGTATGTGTACAGGGTGCTCACAAAAAACAACTGCTGTGAACAAGTGGGTTTTCACCTTCCAGAACTGCAGTGATGTGAAAAGTTTTTGCTTTCAGTATTTGGGTTTGCCATCAATTGTCTTAATCAGATCATCGAGAAAACGAGTTACAAAGTTTTTCATCAAACTACGATGGGTTTTGGCATTTTTTTTTCCTTTTCTATTTTTTTCTCCAAAAGCAGTTGTTAGTACTGTTGAATTCATTTAAATTTTCAACAACTGCACTGATTTTCTACCTGAGTACATTATGGTCTGGTTTTGTCAGAAGAGCTATACTTGTTTTGGCATGCAATAGATCTTAATGGAAAGCTACAGATAGGCTTATATAGATGAGTAACTTCAGGGGCTGAGACTCTTATGTTGTCATGGTGCAGCTAACAGGGTGAATGAACTGTTTCATGCTTCATCAACAATTAAGTTAATTAGCTCATTTGAAATTGCACTGCTTTGTTGCCAGGATGTTGGCAGAAACATCAAAAAGATGTGTTTACAAATGGTAGACTACAGGGTATGTAACAGAAGCACCTTAACAGCAGACCACAAGCACTCAGTTTCACAATAACTTTTGTAATAGAATTAGAGAAATACTTTTCATAAAGTATTTTAAATAAATACTTTTCACAAGGTATTTTAAATGCTTTCTCATGCTATCTTTCAATTTTAAATGAAATGACTTACAGCGACTTGCAAATCTTAGCTAGTATATTTCTCTCATTTGGTATTTTTTTGTTTGTAAGTGCATTAAATGGAATGTCAAAATAATGGCTAATTATAAGAGAAAACTGTATAGGACTTAAAAGAACCTGATGTTAAAAAGAATCCTTGTATTAAAAGGAAAAGGAAATCTCCCAAATGCAATGAATCAGTCTAAGTATTATTAATACTAAGAATTTAAATTAGTTTAATTCAAGCGTGCTCCTTTTCAAGAAAAAGCTAAATTTTATAAATGTGTCTATAGTCACTAGGCTGCAGCAATGCTAATTCTATGGCCAGACTTTACAAATCCATTATGTCAGGTCTCTTGTTATAATCCATGATCACTAAAACCATTTTGATTAATGTGGTGTAGGGCTAGGTTTACAGATGCTCTTGCTTTCCTGAACCAAATAACCCTGGAAAATGTGAAAGCCACATATAACATCTTGCTAATTCTGGTGTAGAGTCAATCAGGGTTTACAGCAGTGTCGTGGCTTTTGTCCTATATGCCAGCAACAAAAAATATTTGAGAATATTCCATTATTTCTTTTTTTCATTCATTATGTCTTCTGTGCCCTTAAAACAAATAAGAAGTCGTGATGTTGAATGGACGAGGTTGTTTGTGAAATGGAAGTGTTTCTTCATTTTACACTAGCGTCAAGATGGAAATCAATAGATAGGACCTTGCCTTAGATTCCTTAGTCCCTTTTCATGTCCACACTAATGCAAAATCCCCATCACAATTAAAAAACATTTTCTTTCAATTAAATATCAACTTTTAGTCCAAAGATTGACCGTTTTTCCAAACCATTAACTTTATAGGGGATGACAGGACTAATGGCTGTAGTTTTCAAGGCTTTGCTCTTAGACTAATCTCTCTTACGATGTTTTAGGTTTTCTGACTTGAAACAATATGATACCTGTGTTAAAAAAGTTAATGCAAGTATATTGTACCAAAATGAAATATTAATAAGGTACACTACTCCCGTCTAGTAGTGTGTATTTCTAGAGTATGCTTATGACAGCTTTGACGAGTACCTGGTTTATTAAGTGAACTCTTAAAGTCCCATGCTGAGAAAATGGTTTACCTAGCAGCTTGCTTCAAAAACATAAAATATTGTGCATCTGAGAAGGAAGATTAGAGAGAAGACACTAGCTTTGCTTCATGTATATAATGATAGAAAAGAATATGTGTGAAGTGATTATTAACTTACAATATATGACTTAAAGTCATTAAAGTCATTTTCACTTTCTCTTTTGCTTGTCCAGTATGAACTTGTTTATATTTACAAGACAACCAGAGGACACCGCAGTTATCCAGAATTATTTTGAGATATTCAGAATAGTTGAAGCAGTTATATGTTTGCTTTGGAATAGATTTGTGTTTCAAAATATAAGCACTGGTTTCAAGAAAGTGCAGCTGATCTTTATGTTTCTGTACATACAGGAATACTTAATCCTGTGTCTTTTCTTGGAAATACTTCAACTCTAAAGGCAAAAATACAGTTTATATTTTATGGAGCAATTTTCTCTCTTGACAAAAAGGGTGTTAGATTACAGTTGTTTGTGCATGCAAGATTCATTTTGTCTTTTTTTTTTTTTTTTTTTTTTTTGTAAAAAACAACAGCTTTTGGCTTAAGAAAAACTTAAAAATGAAAAGACACTTAAGAAAAAGTAATGACATGACTAAAAGGAAGCTGACAAGAGTTTAACAAAACGCTAGATAATGAAGCAATTAGAAGGGTGCCAAAAATTCTTCCAAAAATTTATAATTGTACTGTAAAACAGATGTTGACAGAAGCTGGTCTCCAAGTGAGGAACCCAGTAGATCACTAAAAGCATTTAATAGCAGTTCTTCACACTGCTTTTACAAATGTCAGAGTGCAATAATACATGACAAAACTCGAGTGTATTTTGTCTGCAAAATTAATTATCATTCCGTTGGTCCTAAGGCGGTTTGAGTAGGAAGGATTCAACTTGTAGATCTTAAATCAAAAGATTTACAATAGAGCAGTCCAGCCAGCCTAGAAGTGTTCTTTAACCTTCATGCAGCCGATGCCTGCAAACATAGCACAGTCCACAGCATGAAGATGGGTAATGTTCTCATCCATAGAGATAGGGAAGAAAAATCATGCTAGAGAAGGTAGGCCAGCTTTCCAACAGATGGTGTTTGCTGTTGAGGCAAGAGAGTGCATTTAAAGATCTACAAAGAGCAGTGACCAAGCATCAGAAGTAGGATGACAAAACAAAATTGTAAAAAGAAGAAACTTACTTTATGAATTACAAGTAATGCCATATTAAACTCGCTGTGTTTTTTCATCTTTTATCTACCAAATGATACGCAGTGTCATGTTCTCTCTTTGTTAGAGTGTTGTTCATTTATTTTTTGTCTTCAACTACATAGCGTGGCTATAAAATTATGACCTCAAGAATCTTCTTTGAACTTGTCAGAATGTTGTTTCGTTTGGTGACAGTGCCACCATCTCTCCAAACTAAGGCATCTGACATAATCAGCCAAATGAATAGTGACAGCTAACATTTTGTATTTAAACTCCTGTCAATGTTTAAACATAAAAAGCTTGATGCAAAATAAATCAAACACCACTGATATGCAAGTGAAACATTTTGTTGAAACAATCCCTGACACACTCGGATTTAAAGCTGATTTCTCTTTAGCTTTTGAAACGTTGTAACTAAAAATGAATTTGAAATTCTTGTAGTTAAAATTGAATCGATAATTTGTAATATATGCACTGCGAGGTAACAAGCGAGTTTATATCTGTAAAAGCTACTTGAAAGGAGAAATACACATCAAACAAATTGAAAGGATCTCTTATTGCGCTTTTTGTCACTCTGCAATGTTTACTTAGCTGTTTTTGGAGAGGTGACTGCATGTTTACACTCTGCTGTGTGTGTAAGTCACACAGCCAGCACGCAGATCCAAGCAGTTTTTAAGAACGTCAGTCGACCACATCATTTATTCCATTTTGAAAACAAAAATCAATATACCTATAAAGTGACCCATAAATTAGAACTGGCTCACACAATGTTTGTTCAGTGCTGCCTTTCTGAAGGCACCCTTTGCATTTTTTCTTCACCTCTCTGTTTGAACTGCAGTCACAGTAAGAGGCTCATTAGGGGACATTAGGGACTGGAGCTAACCAGAATTCCAGAGCTTGCTTTGCTCTTATTAATGCATAGTAGAGTAGAATGCATTTAAATATTTCATAGGCATTCAGTAATTTGTGTGTAATCGCCTTGTTAGCAGACCAGTAGAAGTAGAACAGGTCTGTGAAATGGTGTTAGTGATTGCATGGGTAATTTACAGACCTTTGCCATCAGAAAGAGCATTATTGGTGACTAGAATGGAGCTGTGAAATAGAACTAGCAATAAGTAAAAAAAAAAAACTTAATAAAGGTTTTGTAACAAGCATCTTCAGGGATAACAACCCACTTGGTCCTTTTGAAGCAGCTACAGTTTATGACATATGCAATATATCAAATGCATAAGATAGTATTATGAAGCATTCATATGAAAAGGGTATTTGCAACATTAGTTCCAACTTCCTGTGAGGGACATGATTAAATGATTAATGAAATGTCCTTTTGCATATGCATTTCGAAACAGCAATTAGGCACTGACTGAGAAAATCCACCAATCCTCTCATTTTTCAGTATTATCTCATTCTTGATTTATAAATCATAGAGAATTTTTAACAGCAATATGTAGTACCTGAGACAGTTATAAAAGCATAAAAGAGAATAATTTGAGTATAAAATAGTCATAAGTACATAAATTCATAATTTAATGTTAATACCGAGCCTATTTATTTAGTCACGTTGCGTTGTATTTTTATCTGACACTATTTCTGTACTTTGATTGGCATAATTAAGTAGGGGGAATGAATAGGCACTACTATTTTACATATCACTGGTAAACAATAGCGAGGAAAGGGAGATGTGGCAGAGGTATGTATGTGTTTTTCAAGTTCTCAGTAATCCACTGGAGGCTGTTCTATAAATGATCATTGAAGGGCTGCAAGCTAGCCTATAATTACAGGAAAGAAAGTGGCAGCTCTGGCATTTCATAACTATGTGTCCTCGAAAAGTGCTTTGTGAGTTTGTCACCAATGATAATTTAGATAGAGGCTCATTACTGAACATCACAACACTTTAAAAACCTTTCGCCTTCATACAGGAGAATAAAGGACTATTTTAATGGCAAGGTTCTTTTGTGTTCCACTGAAAAATTCAATCAAGACAAAACCTCATTGACTATTATTGTAGTCTGCAGTCTCTGGTCTAATAAAAGCAGCATAGATAAATTGAATGGATTTCTAAGACTTGAGCGTATCAATGCAAACACTCTGCACTTTTTTCGCTCTTTAAATATACAGTGATGGAGTATCACTAAAATGTAAACAAGTGTAAAAACCTTTCTTACCTAAGTGAGCTAATGCAAGACAATCAGAAGTGCCAAACTGTCATGTGAATTCCCTTACTGTCTTGCACTTTAGAATTTCTCAGTGCGTTGACACATGAACGCACAAACATAGGAGACGGATGTGTGTTGTACCTCTGGTAGCTACTGACGGGACCACACGCTTCATTTTACTCTTGCATTTTAAGAGGTAAAGGTAATAATATTGGTATAAATTCTTCAGGATAAAAATTATTACCCTGGTACTTACTTCTGTGAATGCACTGTTTTTATTTCTCAGAGGTAAATCTGTCACATTTCTTAAAAAATGAATTTAAATAGTGTAATTAGAAAGAGTAAAGGGCATAATTGGCAGTGACACTTTGAAGCTGTTAAGATTTTTTTCCAACATTTTTAAAGAATTTTGGTTGAATTTTATAACAGAAAACAATCAAGTTCCAGAAAAATATTCTCTCCTTTTAAAAACGTGTGACTGAATTTTAGTGCTTATTAAAGGCAGGCTTCTAATAGCTCTGGCTGGATCTGAGCGAGGCGCAGATGAGTTCTGTGTGTGTTGCTCCATGTGCACCTCTGCCTGTGCACCTCATCCTGACCTATAGAGCTTTGCTATTTTAGTCCTGGGCTGCTATGGAGAGAGACTGACAAGAGTGCTGAGTTGTATAGAGGTTAATTGATACAGGTAAATGTCCACTAGAATCTTTGTTGAAACTATCTCTCTTCTCTCTCTAATGGTGTAATGGTGTATTATCTTTTGCTTTGCAGAGTCTGAATCTGTTTGCAAAAAAGTAGGAAAAACTTTGGGTTTTATTTCAGGGCATTCCTAGGGTATATAAATCCCTATCTCCTTTAAAACACGCTGCACTGTTTCTTGTCAATAATACATTAATTCCAGTCTGCTTTACAATGCTTTGTGTAGTTCATAATTTGCCTTGTTACTTCCTAATACACTGCAAATATAATCAGGAGAAAATCCTGTTTCTTTCAACAACCGAATAAGCAGCAAAATAATGGAAGAGGCTCTGTATGTGTTGCACAGCCTGCTTCACATTTTCTAACCAGTAACTCATCCCTTCAGGAACACTCTCCAGTCCTCCAAAATGTTTCCTCCCCTTAAAAAAATAACCAGTGTTTTTCTCAATTGTAAATCAAGTTAACACGAGATTAGTAAAGGATGCGGACAAGATAGACGATTGGGAATTTGTTGATGAAGTATGAAAGCTGACCAGCACAACTTTCACATAATTTACAAGTCAGGGCAAGAAACGACAACAACAACAAAGAAAACACTTGGGAATGGTTCCCAGCCTTCTGGAGGAAAGAATGTGTGTCTATTTTGGCAGATCATAGTATACTGGGCCCTAAAACTACAGCAACCTTATATAGAGAAAAGTTATTTTAGAGGTTTTTAAAAATGCATTAGGTCTTGGTTTTCTTTCCCTGCATTGCCTGTACATGCATGAGAAATAAGCCCACTTCACAGGAAAACAAACAAACAAACAAACAAAAAAAAAACTCAGAGAAAAATAATACTGAGAACAATTTTTACACTCTTAATGTTTCTACAAAATAACTTTTCTCCAAAGTGCTCAGCAGAAGCAGCCACATGATGTGAAAGTATGGCATAAGGGTGCGTATCTCTCCCACTTTCTGAAGATGACTGTTAACTCTCAAGGAACAGACTGCAGCCTGCTGAGCTACCATGTAATCAGAGCAAAATTACCCTGCACCAGACTTTATTCTCCCTCACTGCATCTTGCTGTTACATTTAAAGTTTAAAGTTCCTCAGGGCAAGGACTGTGTCTGTGTATATCTTGTAAGGTGTTATGCAAACATATGGTGTTGCAATAACTTAATAAATAATCATGAGAAGACAGTAACCTCAGACTCTGTCCAGGAGCTCCTACACCATTACTTACTGTCACAAGTTCTGTGCACACACATGTGGAAACATGGTGATGTGCACTGCTGCTAGTGGTGATGATACATAGGTAACATCTGTCTCCAGTTCTCTTTCCGACAACCGTGTATCCAATTAACTGAAAACAGTGAACAGTTGTATTTGTACACCACACACTGTCATGTGTAACTGAGGGAGTAAAATTATTTTGAGTCAGAAATTCAGAACACAAGTGAAAGGTACATTCTGAGCAGTTACCTGCTGTTTGCACAGATTGTGCAGTTTTGCACAAGTTAATGAGGTGGGTTTCACTGAAAATAAAAAACTGTAGGTTTTATGTCACACACAGTGGAGATGCCTTGTCATTGGTGATGCTTTAACATAAACTGCCAAGCAAGCATACTGGTAAACAACTTTATAATAAAAGAATGAGCAAAAGCTTTCCTAATTACTTGCATCTTCCCCAGCTGTTCCTCTTGCATGGACAACAGAACTTGACTGTCTCATTTGACTCCCCCACAGACCCCATCCTTGTGCCCTAAACTCTGATGTCATTATTTAAATTGAAGATACAAATCACAGAAAAAAAAGTAAGATATCTGACTGCCCTATTTTTTCACTTTTTCTGAGAAACACATTCTTCAGATACATCAACAATTAAATAATTAAATACTTCTGTAAATAATTCTGCTAAAAAAGGAAAAAGGAGAAACTTGAGGGTGGCTCTGAACGTAGTGCCTCCCATGATATTATGTTGGCCCACTACATCAGATGCAGATGGTGGTGGTATGGCAGTAGAGGTTGAACCTTCCTGCCAATATCCCCTTACATGTTGTTGCCATCTGACAGATGGCAGCAGAGGGGCAGTCTGACACACTGATGTCTGACATTGAAGTGCATATAGAGCAAAGTTGTGTTCATTGAATTCCTCAGCTCCTTAAGGCAGCAGTGACACTGGGTGCAGGTTATTGCGCTGGTGCAGATTATTACAAGTGTGGAATGCAGGCTCTTGTTCATTGCTGGCAAAGATGCAAAGCTAATGGTGCTATGTTCAAAAATAGGGTTTGTAGCCAAGAATTTGTTCTATCAAGTAGTGTTGTTGTGCTCCTTGTAGCTGTTGTAGTTTCCATGGAAATAAATAGGCATTACTTTTGGAGCAACTTATGTGTATTTCTTCGTGGTACAAATAGCATATAGTTCCTGTAGCTGCAAAACCATTGGTGAATGCACAGAACTTACCTCTTCTTGCAAACTGAAGAAGCCAATAAATCCACATTCAGAGGTAAAACTCCTTTGCTCCCTTAATCCTGATCCTTAAGTTTTCTCACAGGAGAGCAGCAAACCCACTGTTAAAGCTCCATGAGGGGTTTCTTTGATCCTGAAAGAGAACAAACAGAAATCACTGTCCTTTAGGAAAAAAAGAAAACAAAAAAAAAAAAAAAAAAACAGACAAAAAAAAAAAAAAAACAGGACTGAATGAGCTCTGTAAAGAAGTTTATACCCCATGGAATCCTATGAGACAGTCATTCGGGTGTGGGCTGTACTTTATATACAGGTACCCACCCCCCGTGGTTCTCCTTCCCTGCTGCAGTGTGGGGTTTTTTTGCTAAGCTGGCACGATTGCATAGCCTGAATCTCCCCCAGGAGGCTTGCTATGTATGTAAGGTGTGTAGTTGCTCCTTCACATGCCTTTACATTGCGCACCATTCCTCAGATCGTGGATAACTGCCATGATCTTCAGAGGCTCCTTCCAGAACCTGCAGTGAAAGTCAGTGATGCTCCCCTGTTGTCTCTGTCATTCCCGGCTCTGTTCTGGGAAGGGGAGAGGACATTCTGTTGTTGCTTATGCTTTAATGATTGAAGAAGATCAGATGGAGAAATCTAAACAATTCTACATTAATTCATGGTAGTTCAAGCAGCCTAAAAGCAATTATATCTTTTGAAGAATCATTTATAGGGTGGCTGTTTCTCTGCACCAGGAACAGCTCAGTGACAACCAAATGCTGACAACCAGTTATGTCGGCTTTTAGATGGCTTCTGTGATCTGGGAGATCGGAACTGGGCATCTGGCAGTCATCACGGAGAAAGTTTGTGCAACTAAATGAAATAATCAGTTTTGTACTTTGTATTGTTGTATCTAAGGCATGTTCTAACTAGATCTTTTTGCATAACTCCCATTGAAACTAATGGAAGCCATATGCACAGGAGAGAAAAATGGGCTCATAAAGAAATTTTCCTGATCTTAACACTGTCTTATTAGTGTTCTCTTTCTTCCCTAGGCACCTTAACAATGAACATGCGTTGGATGACAGAAGCACTGCTCAGTGTCGGGTGCAAATGCAAGTGGTTCAGCAGTTAGAAATACAGGTTTGTTACAGGAGTGTATTTATTATTTATTTACTATTAATCTAGACTAACTTGAAAACATTTGCCTTAATAATTGTGGCTTAAAGCTGTATGTTTCTTGCATGAAATTTGTGGATATTCATGAATGCGCGTTTTTTTACTTTAAGATTTTTTCAACTTATAAATTATGCAATACTTATCTAACATCAGCATTGTCTACAGTATTTTGCTTGAACTAAGACCCTAATGCCATTCATCATGAACGAAAAATACTGTCCCTGCAGCAGGGACTGGATCCAAGTTCTCTTCTCTCCTTGAAATGCTGGCTCAGGACCCCTTCTGCCCCTTCAGTCCCAGTGCATATCTGTGCTGTGCTGCCAGACAGAGGAGCAGCAGAGCTCCCTGCCCAATGGAGGGCGTTTTTCTGGAAGCAGATGGTAACGTCAGACCCACTCAAGGAGTTCTCTGGGGAGGTTTGTCCCCAAGCAGCTCCATGGCTGGAACTGTGGAACTCAGGTGACCTGATCAAACTTCAACTGTTAGAGCTCACGGCATATTTGTGATGTTCCATCTGTTCTTCTGGAGAAGCACCAAGTACCTTGTACTTGTACAAGTACTACTCCTGGTAATTGAAACAACGCTTACATGGTGCTGAGGCTTGGCACCCCAGAATGACCATGCAGGATGCTCATATGGTGTGGTTCTGTGCAGGAGGGCACTCCTCAGAACTCCAGCCTGTCTTGGAAGAGTTCAAGGGGGCCTAAGGACTGCAGGGAAGAGCTGAGATCGTTTTTCCAGTTTGTGGAAATACCTGGGGAAAAAAAGACAAGTGCCTTGAGGCTTTCTTGCTTTACAGTGTATGTTGCCTCATTGTTTTTGTGCATGCAAGAATACTTGTTCTCCTTTCAGCCAAGGCCAACAATTCCATTCTCTCGTATTTTAATACTGGAAACCCAGTGCAATGAGGGGAAAGTGAAACAATGTCATTTATTGTCATTTGTCTTGAAGTGGAAGTTTTATAAACCAAGGCAAAACCATGGTTTCTTTTATAAGATTTACAGGACAGCTTTAACTTACTTTTCTGTTATGAATTTACGTCGTGGCAAATAGCCTACCTCTAAAACAGCACGCTCATAATATAAAGCTGAAGGAGAAACCTTTTTCCCACTCTCTGCCTCAAGTAGTCTTTTAATTAAAGTTGCACTGACCAAATTTTAGCCTATACACCCAGAGTATCTGCAGTTATACAGATAGCTTCCCATGGTTTTGAATTACTTGCAGGCTGGTTTGCTTCGTCCAATCTCAGTCTATAGATGTACCTCTTGAGCTGAAATCGTGCAAGAAAGTATTATAGAAGTCTGGAAAGAGTCAGTGCTAAGCACCAAGTGATTGAAGTTTCAAGTTAATGCTGTAATCGGTTTGCATATATCCAAAGCCAGCATCACAAGAATACAACTTCGAGCATTTCCTCTTCATGTGAAAAAAAATGATTCTTTTCATGTTGTACAATACGTTTTCCTCTTTTAGGTTCTGATAGAACAAGTAACATATTATAAACACTTCTTCTTGTTTCTTTTTTATTATTTTTATTAAATAATTGGAGTCTGAAAGTACAAACATTCATGTAGCATAGGAAGAGAAAACAGAATCAGTTAGGAAAAGGTGCAGGTTTAAGTAATGTGATGTCTTCTAAAGGCAGCATAAGGGCTCCTGAAGAACTGTTTACCATTTAGAAAGGGTATGCTGTAACGTAACAGCACAACTGAAGATTTAGCTTGCAGTGTGACCAATTATGCCATTTCTTGCTTTGTCTGACTGATAGAGAAGTAGGGTCCATCAGTTGTAATGAGACTCAGCGCAGTGTAGATGCCGACTCGGTGGCAGAGTTCAGCGTTTCACACTGCCTGGTCTCTGTTACTCTATTGAATTAGATTGATGATGGCAGATTGCAGGGGGCACTAACTGGACCTCAGTGGGAAAGGATGAAGTGTGGAGACAATCCTGGCAGGCTCTGTGCTTTGAGGACCCTTCACCCCTTCACAGCTGCTGGCACTAGTCCATAGCTAACAGTGTCCACAGGACTTTAAAGAGACACTATGGGCCTTCTAATTTATGGTCTTAGTAACTTGTTACTGTCGAGGCTACTGTGACCTCAATTCTCTTATTGACAAAAAGATGAAGTGTTATTTGTTTTCTCTGACCTTTTAGCATATGAAAGGCTGTAAAAGTTGTGGGTTTTTTTTTTTTTTTTCCAAGTCCCAAAGTTGCATTTCCTCCCAGATAAGTTTCTACTGACATAGCCTTTTATATGCAGGAATCATTACACTGAGACAAGCTCAATGATAAGATGTATCACTGCAATAAAATAGCTGTATCAGTCATTTCTGAAATGTTTCTGATCTCACTCTTTCTTAACAGCTTTCTAAAGAACGTGAACGTCTTCAAGCAATGATGACCCACTTGCACATGCGACCCTCGGAGCCCAAGCCATCTCCAAAACCTGTAAGTGCATATTGCTTTATAAACAGTAAATAGGTCTACAAATGTAGCAGACTAAGAAAATGAACAATTTAGTGACAGTTGGAAAACAATGAGTGTGATGAAAAATACGGCAATAAAATGAAAGTAAAATGCAATAGCTTGTCAAATTGTATGTTTCTTTAAAAGTAATGCTATCTTTTACAAAATCTATCCAATCTACGCCATAGGTGACACTAAACAAAGTACACCTATAACTGTCCAAATCATTGCCTTGAGACTGAAACCAGAGAATCTTTTTTTGTGATAGATTCACAGATACTAGAAGGAAACCCACTTTGATAGATTTGAAGTTCACTGAAATCTGTGGCAATAAAAAGTAAATATAAAAAGAAAAGAATCCAAGTCCTTACAAAATTTCTTAAATTACTTACTAGAGATACCAATAAACAATTTGTCATTCTTAAACAAACAAAGGAACAGCCTCTCATGTCCAGCAAACGTAATGATTTTTAAGCACTCTTATTGCTTAATTTCTGCCAAGAGTGTACTGTTAAGCATCTCCTGTGGTGATGTAGGGACAGTGGGAAGTCACGACTGGTCACGGCCATTCCAGGGCACTGTTCCAGGCTCAGCCATGTGGCTGGAGCTGCAGTCAGAGCCAATCTTCGTTATACCCAATGTGGATTTGGAAGTACTGTCTGATGCAGGTCCAGTTCTGCACTGCTGGGGTGTCAAGCGTCACAGGACTGGCATGCAGAGATTCACTGGGCTTATAATGCAAGCTGTGTGATATGTTAACTGTTCATTAATGTTAGCTGTGACAGCAACCTCTGTACGTTCAAGTTCTCGCAAATATGAAAAGGATACGCTAGCACTTGAAGATGAAATGCTGGGTATCGATGAAAATCTGCGTCCATCAAAGTCAGGAAATGTAGGCAGAAGAAACACAATCTGTTTTAAAGAGCAAGCTTGGATATCACGCCCAGTTAGTGTTTACGTAAAAGGAGAGCATACTCTGTCTCTTGTGTTTCCAGCTCCACGTACTTCAAAGAAAATCTTTGTCTGAGGACCCACTTTATAATCTGATGATGAATGAAGAAAGCGTTAGCATTTCCTTAACCCCTACCTTTGTGAGAGAAAATTTAGATGCAGCATTTTTTCTTTCATTAGTCTAACTAAATTCTAGTTTTTATTGTCGATTATCTAGAAGGAAAAGGTGCTTAGAAACTTTAATTTTGTTATGTGTGGCTTGTATCTGAATTAAGCAATCTGAGGGTTTTTTCCATTTCCGTGCATTGTGAAGTTCTTCTGTCACACAGACTTCTCAAGCAATTTGCGTTGGGTTCAAAATGCTGCTGAACTGTGTGGGAAAAGGTTTTCAGAACACATTTCTACTGTTTAATTATTTTAACCCCAGATGATCAGTAGTCTATCAAAATTTTGAGAATATTGTTTCTTTACAGTTTTAAGCGACTGTCTCATTTCAATAAGATTATTTTTCTCATTCCTTCCTATAGTATAATGTAGATAATCACAAGACAGAATAATTGTCTCATAAATCCATCAGGAATCTGCAGCTTGTTCTTTTCCAATTAATTATTCAATCAGTAAATTTTTTAAAACTCCAGCAGCATGGTTACATCTACACTAATAAAGAATTTTCAGCCTATAATCCAAAACAGAACCTGAATGAATAATGTAATTGAAGTATTACATTACATAAACCACACATGAAAGAATTGCTAATTGCGTTTGATGGTGGGCAATTAATACAGAATCTTAGATGAGCGATTTAAAATGAAACCACAGTTTAAAGTTCCCTTTGGAACTAGAGATATCTGAAGTGGTGAGCTGCACTACTGGCCTCAAATTGGTTTGAAAGAAGAGTGGTCAATACAACTCCCTCCT